ATTTTTTTTTTACTTTCAAGGGAAAAATACCATCACTTAGAACAAAACTTTTCCTGCCATTAACTGATTATTTGACTTTATGATTACCCTTAACAGTGTTATACATTTATAGATTAAAGCTTATTTAACAAACATTTAATGCTTCCTCCCAACTGTTCAGTGTCAAAAGGGAGGGGGGGGGGGGGTGTCCATTTACTGTACCACTTACATTTTAGTGTGGGCGTCATCCACTATTCTGCTGTTAGCTGGAACATTTGTGCCAGCTGCTGGTTTGAAAGGGAGGCATACCATGTGCCAATTCAGGAAGCTTTCCACGTTCCTCACTGCATGTCAGCTCAGGACCTCACTACCATGTTGGGAGGCAGTTGAAGACTAACCAATCAACATCCCAGGCTGGAGAGCAGTGCCAGCTCGGGGACAATTTACCACCTGCAAAAAATTTAATACTCTTAACAATCTACACCATCTATCTCATCTTTACCTAGCCCCCAAACCTTACATTTGTCAGCATTAAACTGCATCTGGTAGTCTTAACCATTTCAAAACTATATAGGGCATCGGTATTTTTTATTTGCCAATTCTGCAACTATTGCAGTCTAAACCATAATCTTGCGAATAACCGAGGTCCAAGGAGAGCTTTTAGGCACTACTTACAACACTTCTCCCAACTTAACCCCATTTATACTAATTTCCTTTGGTATAGCCATGACCTAATCAACTTCAGTCAGCATTCCCAATGATCCGAGCCCCTATCAATTTTGCGCCACTATCAAAATCTCTGCTGAAGTCAAGGTACACAAAATCACAAACCTTATCACCATTTCCTCAACTATGCAACCTAATCCATGAACATTTAGTAATAAAACTATGCGATTCATGTATCTAGTCATGTTTCTCAAAAAGAGTAGAGAAATGGCACTTGCAATGTTAGATTCTAGTAACTTTCCTCACAATAGACTAAGCTAATTGGTCACTAACTTAAGCGTTAAAGTTAACTCAAACTTTTCCTTTAAAACTTGCTATATTAGGAACTTTCCACGACCGGCCTTTACCCGACATAATTAAATAGGGTAAAAACGGTATATTAAATGCAGTAAAACTACGGTAAATTCAATATGATAAACTTGCATTCTTTAAGCATGGGCTGCATAGTAAGTGAACTAAACTAAATGTTAAGCACCCTGGCAAACCACTTCGTTCTATTCAATTTCTTTATTTAATCACTTTGTCCGGCTAGAATTTTTAGATTAGATTAAAGGAACACCCTCCCTGGTAACGGCTGAACTAGTTAACCAAATACAAATATTTAGGTAAAATACTTTCATAAAACCCGTCTACTTCCCCCACCAGTAGACTTGTTCAGCTAAAGGCATAATGTAATGTTCCACTTTAGTAAATAAAGACTTAAAAAAACACTACCCCATCTGTGTAGTTACCGGTTACCTGACATTCTACGCTTAAAATAACCCATCTATTCCCCATAATTGTTCGATATAACTTACCTCTCACCCGCTGGTCGAGTACACAGCAGTATATATCCTCCTCCATCACTCACCGCGTGGATACTATTTCACTCTGGCCGCAAATTGCCTCAAATCACCTACGTTGTCCATAAACATATATAGAAGAGCAACTGACCGCAACACCCGTATAGCGATCATCACATAACGTGGGAACATTAGTAGTACTGCTGTCAAAACATAGATGGCGCCAGGACAAACGGTAATTCCTATGGACTCGCCTAGTTATGCGTAGGGAATTGAGCTTCAGCTGTTTGGTCCCGCCCCTCAGCTGTATTCACCTAGTTGTACTCACCTAATTTGTGCTTGCAGGGGTTGAGCTTTGGTTCTTTGGTCCCGACTCTCAACCGTCAATCAACAGGTGTACAGGTTCCTGAGCCTATTGGGCTCTATCACATCTACATTTGAAATTGTGTATGGAGTCAGCCTCCACCACATCACTGCTTAATACATTCCATTTGTTAACTACTCTGACACTGAAAAAATTCTTTCTAATATCTCTGTGGCTCATTTGGGTACTAAGTTCCCCTTGTTCGTGTTCCACCCGTGTTAAAGAGCTGTCTTTGTAACTATCAAAATGCATATATCTTTGCTTTCACTTCAGTTATATTTATGACAATGGATTTAAAATTTGCCTATATTTCTGCTTCTCTGATGACATTAAAAACTTTCGTTTATTACAGTATCTACATAAAATTAACATGTATCTTCATTAGGTTGTAGTTCTCATCAATAGGGAGAGCGTCGGTAAAAAAAAAAAAATTGTTTAAATATAAATATCTTTCCTCTCTCAATAATATGCCCGAAACGCTATGCGTACTAGTGGCTTTAGGTATTGTATGTACTAGCTCTATCTATAAATCCAATATTATGTGTGTAAATCGACTATTTATGTACTTTCCTGAATAAAATGAACTTTACTAATATCTAATCTCTGACTAAAACGTAAGAACGACTTTATCTATGCCTTTTTGATAACATATACAATTATAAGCTTTATTAGTGAATCTCTATTAATTAAACAATATATCAGAGAGTGTGTAAGGTTCGGTGTTCCATGTGCGAAGAGACATGGGAGATTTTACAGTAAATGTTTTAAGTAGCGAACGCATACTAACGAATAACGATTAGTATAGACCAACACTATTGTTCTATGAAGTCGATTTAACTTCCAGACATGTATTTTTCAATAAGTCTTAAATATTTTCTGGCTAGTTATGTTAGATATTATTAGAAATACGTATTCTACTTGTTAATATAATAAACTAAATTTGCGATCATTTAAGGAGAGAAGTGCGACGACTGGATCACTGTGTACAGAAGGTTGATATGCCAACAAACACTTTCCAGACAACAATATATCTTGGATAAGTCGCTCCACAACATTGACACCTGGACCGTTGACTTCCTATGAGGCCACATATTTACTTATTTCATAATGGAAGTATATTATTTTATAGTAAATATATGTTTTCTCGTGTTCTGCATTAAGCACCAACATTATAGTGAATAAATATACCATATTTCTTCATTATTTAAGTAATGCTAGGAGGCTTTGAGTAGCTTTGGGTCATTAGGTGAACAGAATCTCCAATAGATGGGGCGAGAGTCGCGCTATCTCTCGCCCGAGCGAGAGTCGAAACTTATTTTAGAATTGATATATCTTTGTCCTCCAACAAGATATATTTCCTTTGGTGCACTCACAATAACGAGCATATCTCTGTCTTTCTGAAGGCATATAATATTTTAGGCTTTATAAGCGTATCTTTGTTAATTACACACTATATTGGCAAGTGCGTAGGCTTCTGCATTCCATGACCGACAAGCTACTGAATGCCACTATAAAAACGTATGTATCTTCACTTGAGCTTTATATATGTCTATGTTAAAGTATTTAAAATGAAGCTTATATTTCTATCTTTCTTGAGACATATAAAACATATGTGTTTATTAATGAATTTACGTGAAATAAGCATTGTTCTGAGAGAGAGTTGCTCTGTCGATCAGTCTGTGCGGGGTCGGAGCTCGGCGATTATTAAAACACATGTATCTTCATTAGAACTTTATATATATCTATGGTAAAGTATTTAAAATGAAGCTTATATTTCTATCTTTCTCAACACATATAAAAACATTTGCGTTTATTAACGAATTTACGTGAAATAAGCATTGTTCTGAGAGAGAGTTACTCCGTTGCTCGATCTGTGCGGGATCGGAGCTCGCCGATTAGAAAAATACACGTATCTTCGCTTTAAATACAAATATGCCCATGGTAAGGCATTTAAAATGAAGATTATGTTTCTATCTTTCTTGAGACGTATAAAAATCTTACGTTTATTAACGATTCTGCGTGAAATAAGCATTGTTCTGAGATGAATATTGCGGATTTCCGGCTCTACGACCGATGAAAAATGCAACTTTTATACAACTACAAATATCTTTAGTTTTACTTTAAATTTTGTCCTGAAAGAGTTTTCATATATAGATCCAGTTTCTGCCGTTCTTCTGACATAAAAAGACCTTTGGTTTAATAAGTTATTAAGATGTTTTCAACAATATTACTAGGGCGTTCACCGATTCTAACGGGCGACCCTTTTGGAAACGCAACACATGGGTTGACCTGATTGATATATGGGTCAGATTCCATTAAGGTTCAGAACATCACCACACCATAAATAAATATCTCTTTGATATCCCCAGGGTCAAACTTAATCTGTGTAAACACTCTATGCAAATTAAGGGACCTAGTCTATGGAACTCACTCCCTAGTGAATTGAAAAACTAAAACTTTTGCCTTATTTAAAAGCAAAACCAAAAAGTACCTAACTTCATCTTCTTAGTTTCCTACACTGGGCTTTAAATTTGCTCTGTACCTAGTGTTACCCAATCTCCTAATTTTTATGTAATATCAAACAACCTTATCATTGTGTTCATTGCTGTCTTCTTTTATGTGCTAGCCATATGCTGTATTGTGACTACCAATTTTTGTCAACTACCATTCAAGCTGTCATTGCAATCAATCTTATATTGTTTCTGCTGTATTGTGCCTACCAATTTTTGTCAACTATCATTCAAGCTGTCATTGCAATCAATCTTAGCTACCTATGTGCTTTAATATACTGTACCTACAATTTTCTCTCATCTTTTTTTTCATTTCATGTAATCTGTTATCATTTTTTTGTCTATAAATTTTGCAAGTATTTACCTCCTTAAAATTTTCTTAGATTAAGGACCTGCCCGAAACACTGCACGTGCTAGTGGCTTTACAAGACTAATTATCATATTTGTATCCTCACATTCCTTATGTACATTCTTGTATATGCATAAATAAATAAATAAAGTGCATCACACTGGTTACATGGGGGGACACTCGTTTTGTATGACGTCCGTTTCACATGACAAACATGGAACGGATTAAATTCGTTATGCGAGGTACCACTGTAGTTATATCTCTTTTGCTGTAAGGTTTAAAACATGGAATAAAAAACATAAATTATATATTTTTTACACATCTGTACATTATGTAGGGGTACATTTGGTCATAAAGGAATATAAAGGCTTAACTTCTTGCCATGGCAATGCTAACTAAGACCATACGTGTCATCCCACAATATTAACAATAATTTACCTACCCTACGGTCTACATTAAGGACAACATTAACATAATTCTTTAATGACTGTAAATATAGAGAACCTGCCTCTATGACAACCAAAGCAGTGTGGCTGTCGTGAGTCACAAGAACTAGTAAGTACAATGAACTAGTATGGTCTTTAGTAAGCACTAATAATATCCAAGGGCTCAGTAATATTTGTCGTGTTAAGAAAGGCTACTACAGGATGCACGCTACATTTCACATGGATAATGGTAGTAAAATCCTCCATTCTATCTAGCATTGTTCACAACACTTATTCTTCAATTTCATAACATTAAAAAATCCCTAACTAAACACTTTCATTTCATTCACTGAATAAGTTTATTAATCTTCAGCACAACAACAATTGCTGAATAGTTTTCATAATTTTTTCACATAACACTGATATTACCATTAAATATATAAACATCAAGGAAACTGGTTATTATACAAACCCATAAAACAATTTTTTTTTAGATGAGGTTTAAACAAATTACAAACACATTTGTTTTTCTACAGATAAGGGAAGACCAACTTGGTGAGAGAACAAGCATCAACAGTTTCTCTAAACAACAGGTTACACCCCAACATTTAGGAACTATCTGGACAACATTCCTGATTTCAAATGGTGCAAGAGGGTACATAATATTCCTCTACAATCATTACCTGACAATTTAACTAATCACTCCATGCAATTCAGAAACAAAGATACTGTAATGAAACAGAATTCAAAACTATACATGTTGGCCTAATACCCCACTTGTTTTATTTAAGATTCAATAAAAGACTTATGGAGATTTCCAGGAAAAATAAATGCCATTCAGGACAGCAATCATGAGGTAAGTGAACCACTGTAGGGTAATATGAATGCGAGTCATTCACTCTTCCACTGAGTTTTTACAGTGTCTGGTTAAAACAAAATGTCTGTAGCTTATCATCATCATGGTACACTAACACCTCCACACTCACTCATTCTCAACTTTAGCAAAGCCTCTAACAATTGCACACTTAAATTCTGTGGCTTCCATTCCCAACACGAGACAAGAAAGTTAGCCTTCATTTGTCTTTGGTACAGAAAATAAAATATCAAGACACTGGAAAACATGATTACACCTGGATTACATATATACACAGTATACTTTAATAAAAATATTGATCTTTAATTTTCAATATGAATAAAAGCACAAATATAACATCCTAGACATACAAACTTGTTTTCTAATTTGTAGAATTCTGCAATACCTAATTATAAATATCTTATTCAGATTAAATTCTATACGTCTTATATACATAGGTATCCAAAAGTTTGGAAAAATACTGATATATAATAGGTAGTAACGAGACTTTTGGCACATACATAACATGGCTCAGAATCCTCAGTGTGTGACAGTAACGTTGTGATCTGGTATGACCAATGTCCAGCTCAGTCATAGGATTCTCCACGACACCAATATATGAGCTATATCTTAAAGAGGTAATTTGATATGTAGGGAAAATATAATCCAATGCGTAAAAAAGTAAAACTATATCCCATGAAATCCCTGACATTTCCCACTGCAATTATAAGATGAGTCCTGCGAGCATAATTGTGTGTCAAATACACCAAAGGTTTCACACTGCATTCAGAACACAAATTTAACAGCTATGCTGATTTTAATTCAAATAAATTGACAAGCATCAGTGGTAAATTATGAATCTATCAGTCTCTTATGTATTTCCCGAATACAGTAGTTGTTCCTGAGGTCTGTGGCTTATCCAACTTCTAAAATGTGCTCTACCTGTAAGATAACATTAGAATCGGTCTGCTACATGTATTTTCAGGAAAATCCAAAGCTAGTCATACTTAACCATGTGGCTTTTGTTAAGAAAAACATGTAAGGTGGAACTAATGTTATACATTAGTACAACTACCACTGAGTTTGATATTATACAGCTTGATAGGTTCTTGAAACACTTTCAAAGTAGCTGGGATTGCAGTGGTCATTATAGTATAAAATTTAAATGCATGAACATATTCCCACGTGTCATAATTTCTCTACAGTGGGACTGTGGGAGTCATTATCTTTGTGCTTTATCCCTTCATCTTTAGTTGGAGATTTTTTTCTAAGGGAGAATGGCTTGAATAGTAAGTACCTTGCAGACTCGGGCTTCTTTTTGGAGTTCTTTGGAGAATCATAGTAAACGAGAGGTAACTTGTCAGTTTGTCTTATGCCTCTGGTTTGGTTGAGCACCGATTGATGTTGATTGTGTCTGTTGGCTTCATCCACCTGTGGTATTTTTGTCTCCACTAGAAGGTCATCTTCTGAACCACCTGGGGTGTTTTCAGAAGTCTGAATTTCATCACCATTGGGCCTCCTAGAGCGACCATTTTTTCGAGGAAGTACGTCTAAAGAAAGGCTGAACCCTTTATTCTTAAGAATTGAGTTCGAGGATAATGCACACTTTTCTGAAAGTGTTGGCGACAGTTGAGCATCTTTTAACACGCACAGCTTTTTTTTTTGTTCTAAAAGTTCGAAGGAGGTAGAAGTTTTGATTTCACCAGTTGAAGGAATTTCATCAGAAACATACTCTACATTTTTTTCTTTTGAAATCTCTTTCTCATGGCAACTCAACATGTTTTCTTCACTTTGTGGCTTCTGGGTGTTTATCCCGAAACTAATTCTAGGTCGAGTTATATGAAACGTTCTGTGGGGTCGGTCTTTTGCAGGCTCGGACCTACTTCTAGTTCGTTTGAGCACACCCTGCAGACCACCTTGTTTATGCCTCGTGCTTCCCTTTCCAAAAGGAGCCGAACCATTGAGATTCTTATCCCTATCACTTGAGAGACGTTCAGAGAAAATTTTTAGACGTGCAAATATAGAAGATTCTTTTTCGTATTTCTCGGGAAGTGATTCATTATCTTCAGGTTCAATTCTGGCCTCTGCATGAGGCAAGAGTCGATCTTCCAGTGCTCTGGGAGATATGGTTCTCTCACAACTTGACCTCCCGCCTACACTGTTGCGGCGTTCAGAACTATTTCTTCTAGAAGGCGATTTATGAATATCGGTCGCAATTTTGAATCTAGATGTTCTTTCACTCACGTCAACTTCAGTCTCTGTCAAGTTGGCATCATCTATCTCAACATCTCCACAGTCAACAGTATTGGAGCGATAGAATGAGGCTCGTGACGATGCTCGACTCCCCAGACTGTGAAAGCTTTCTGTCTTGTGAACTATTTTTTTTGTATTATCTTGAGACAACGGGCTATTTGGACTCTGAGGCTGTTGTTCTTCCTCTGGTGACTGAACCATCGCTAGCTCTTGTGAAGTTTTCTTGGATGCTTCATTGAGTGTTCGGTAGTGGTCCAGGGCATACTTCACTGGCTGGATTATTAATTCCTGAAAAATTAAACTAGCAAATTTATCCTTACACAGATATAGGCTTTCATTAAAATTCATTAGTGAAGTTCTTATTGCAACACATGTGAATTGAAGTTACTTTATATGCCTCAGTCAATTTAAGATATAAAAGAAGAAATTTATCAGCTTATATTTATGGAAAAGATAATGCCTCTCCAAATATCAAACTTAGTATCCTCATATTCAACATGACTCTGAAAAAAGGCAATATCCCACATAATTTTTATTCCTGAAAACACAAACTATATTTAATGATAAAAATACACAAGGTTGTAAGAATTATCAGAGAAGTGAATGTGGAGAGAGAAAAATGGGATGGTGGAAGAACGATGGACTATAATTAGCATGAGACAGTCTATGGCATAAAGAGAGAAGTGATTATATATATAGGCATGTCTAGTCGGAAGCTAAAGATGTGTTACATAAGCTGTTAATGAAATGTGAGTGTACATCTGCGTCAGCACATGATCTATTGGTGAATTGAGTGCTTGCATGTGCATATACTTTACCCAGGGGCTAAAATCTCTAGTGGCCTCAATGGGGACAGAAAGCCGCCAGACTGTCAAAGGCTTCCCATTGTTCCATGGGTTTATAATCATACAAGTGAAAAAACATTTCCTGTCCTACATTATGGCTCATGGAGCTTGAAGCTCCTAGCTCTTGTATGTGTTACATTTGACCTTTTAAAGAACTGGTCTGGATTAATACGTTTCGGCTTGTTCATTATTTTAAAGGATTTGGTGAGATCAGCCCTGTCATGTCTGGTTTGTAGTGTGGTTAGTCCTGTGGCCCTCAACTGTTCCTGATACGAGAGTTGATGTAGTTCTGGGGTGATTTTTGTTTTCTTGCACACCATGGGGTTTGTCAGCTATTAACAGTTGAGCAGCCCAGGGGTTAAAATAGTGTACTTTATTAACCACTTTACTGCACCACTTGACAAAACACAGTATGTCAGTGTGCCGCTCGATTTCATAGCGATGTTAGGATATAGTAAGATTCAAAATGCGCACGCAGTGGGTTGGTTATGAGATGGAGGCCTGAGGTTTCCAGTGAGCGGCAGTCATATAGAAAAAATTTCCAGCATGCCCCTTGGGCCGCAGGTAGGCTCAGCTCTGATTGAGCAACAATGGCTGATGCATGTGCCTCCAGCTCCCAATCCCCTGTGTTGAAAGATCGCTGTCTGAAGGGGAAATTGGGACAGTATTGTTTGAAGAAGGAAAGGATAGCGATACTGTATCGAGGAATCAAGGCACGATAAAGACCTAACACAAGTATCCGATAAAAGTGATACAGACATGGATGAAGACAATACAGCGAGCGTGTCCTGTACAGGGTGAGCGCCACACATGCTGTAGCCTCACAGGTCATTGCCGTTGCCAGGATTACCACCACCACTACCCGTGTCATCTCCCAATCTTACTGAAGCAACCATACGAGTCATAAATACTCATTTATGACTCGTATGATAATGCCAATTTGTGTGGTGGCTGTGGTAATGGTGCCAGTGCAAGGAGCATGGGTGAATTTATGTGGGAGGACCTATATGGGGCTGTACCCAGGTCATTAAATCCAGGGCTCAGCCAAATCCAGAGGTTTTAAAATGTCGGTAACTGTTTAGTCATATTTAGGAGAGCAACAGGTTGGATGGTGGGTAGGCTGGCTGGATGGCTGGCAATTGGGTGGGCTGGCTGCCTGGTTAACTGGCTGGTAAGTGGGTGGGCTGGCTGGATGGCTGGCTGGTAAGTGGGTGGGCTGGCTACCTGGTTAACTGGCTGGTAAGTGGGTGGGCTGGATGGCTGGTTAACTGGCTGGTAAGTGGGTGGGCTGGATGGCTGGTTAACTGGCTGGTAAGTGGGTGGGCTGACTGGATGGATAACTGGCTGGTAAGTGGGTGGGCTGACTGGATGGTTAACTGGCTGGTAAGTGGGTGGGCTGACTGGATGGATAACTGGCTGGTAAGTGGGTGGGCTGACTGGATGGATAACTGGCTGGTAAGTGGGTGGGCTGACTGGATGGATAACTGGCTGGTAAGTGGGTGGGCTGGCTGGATGGATAACTGGCTGGTAAGTGGGTGGGCTGACTGGCTGGTTAACTGGCTGGTAAGTGGGTGGGCTGGCTGGTAAGTGGGTGGGCTGGCTGGTAAGTGGGTGGGCTGGCTGGATGGATAACTGGCTGGTTAGTGGGTGGGCTGGCTGGTAAGTGGGTGGGCTGGCTGGATGGATAACTGGCTGGTAAGTGGGTGGGCTGGCTGGATGGATGGATAACTGGTTAGCAGGAAGGCAGGCAGGAGAGGGGGTTGGGCAGGTAGACTGGTTGGCTAGTGGGTAGATGGATTAGACTGGCAGGCAGGTGGGGTAGATGGATTGGTGGCTGACTGGTGGACAGGTAGATGGGCAGAGTGGGCAGGTGGGATGGCTGGCAGGGTGGGTGGGTAGGTGGCTGACTGCCGGCAGGCAGGCGGGGTTAGCAGGTGGAGGGCAAGACGGGTTGGGTGGATGGATGGAGACAGACTGGCCCGACTGACAGGCATACGAGAAGGTACATTGGGTTTGTGCATCAAGATCAACAAGCCACACTATTGGACAAAAGTGCATGCTTTTTCACTCGTGGGGTAATAAAGCCATAGAAATTCCTACACATAACCTGTTGGTGAAGAGCGAGTGTGTGTATACACTCACCTAGTTGTGCTTCAGCTCTGGCTCTGTGGTCCCACCTCTCAACTGTCAATCAACTGGTGTACAGGTTTCCGAGCCTATCATATCTACATTTGAAACTGGAATCTGCCTCCACCACGCCACTTCTATTTATTACTACTCTGACACTGAAAAATTTCTTTCTAATGTATCTGTGGCTCATTTGTGTACTCAGTTTTTACTTGTCCCCCCTTGTGTGAGTACACATGTTAAATTATCTCCATTTATCTAACCCTGTCAATTCACCTGAGAATTTTGTATGTGGTAATCATGTCTCCCCTTATTCTTCTATCCTCTAGCAATACGAGGTGGAATTCACGCAGCCTTTTTCTTATAACTCATACCTCGTAGTTCTGGAATTAGTCTTTCGGCATACCTTTGAACCTTCTTCAACTTAGTTTTATGCTCGACAAGGTATGGATTTCATGCTGGAGCCGCATATTCTAGCATTGGTCTGACATATGTTGTGTATAAGGTTCTAAATTGCCCGAAATGCTATGCATACTAGTGGCTTTAGGTATTGTATGTACTAGCTCTATCGATAAATCAATCAGAATGTAACTGCATCTATGTATGTACTTTTCCTAAATAAAATATTATTATTATCATTATTATTATTATTATAAATGATTCCTTACACAAATTTCTAAAGGCAGTTTTGATATTAGACAGCCTCACTCTCATACACTGCTGATTTGATCTTTTTTGTGTGGGCTTCAAGAGACAGGTTTGGTGTGATACCAACTCATAGATTCTTCTCTGGCCGTTTCATGGAGGACTTTATCTCCTTATAAGCTATTGGTGAAGTGTGTGTACATCCAATATCAACAGAATTAAGTGTACTGTTCAAAGACTTTTCCTAAAGTTAATCAGAGTTCAACAAACATTTATTGGAAGAAGTACATGATATTTACATAGCAGTGATTTTTCTTACTAAAACTACTTAAGTAAAGTTAATTGTCTTACATCGAGCTCAGGCAGAACTTTTCCGAGTGCTTCAAAAAGTGGCAAGAGAACAAAGCCAATAAAGGAGCACTGGGACGAGGGCTTCGTCACCTTCTCCCGGTCCATGAAAGGAGACACTGGCAGGCCCTCCAGCTTTTCCAGGTCACTCTGGTTGAAAAACTCCTATAAAAGAATTGAACTTTATTACATAAACTTAACTAAAATAAAATTTGTATTTAACCTAGTTGCAAAAGTTTTCAAAGGATGCTTTTCCTAGGCTATCATATTCAGATGTCCATAAAGTAAGATCTGCAATGTCCTATGTATAAGGCAGTATAAGGCACAATGGGTTTTGAAAGTAAATATGTTATGTGGTACATTCTTGCACAGCAACTTGCACGCATAGTGCTGCAAGCAATATTTCACGTGGTCCCTGCACGGTGGTACCTGGTGCGTAAGTTTCACTGGAACACTTAATCCCCTCCACTTAATACCTATAAGGTAATAAGCACATGGAATCACCTACTTGTCAAGACTGTACTCTAGTTTTCAGCCAGGTCCATGACCGGGCCGCTGGGACGCTAAGCCCCCAGAAACACCTCAAGGTAGTTCAAAATTCTATTGGAATAAAAATCCTCAGGCCTCCCTGTGTTCATTGAGGCCACTAGGGATCATGGCCCTCAGGTAAATTCAGATACAGTAAATATATAACAATTTAAAGCCCCTCCAAACACTTTTTATCAAAGGTGAGTGCCAGAGATGGGCTCTTGCTAAGCACCAGTTGGCCTTCCTGGCCACCTACGCTTACTGTCACCTGTGTTAGTACCCACAATCAACACGTAGGGCCCAGATTTCAGTTAAGTTAGACCTGGGGCCAGATTCACGAAAGCACTTACGCAAGCACTTACGAACCTGTACATCTTTTCTCAATCTTTGGCGGCTTTGTTTTCAATTATTAAACAGTTAATGAGCTTCAAAGCACCAGGAGGCTGCTTATAACAATAACAATAGTTGAATGGGAAGTTTTCATGCTTGTAAACTGTTTAATAAATGTAACTAAAGCCGTCAAAGATTGAGGAAAGATGTACACGTTCGTAAGTGCTTGCGTAAGTGCTTGGTGAATCTGGTCCCTGGTCTCACTGTCCAGACTACCCGACAACATACCTGCATCAGACACTCCAGCCAGGGCTCGGCAATGTCCAGAGGTCGAGCTTCATTGCTAATGTCTGCAACTTTGATCAAAATCATGTGAAGCTGAAAATGAGAGGATAAACTGTCACTAACATATTGAAATACATCTTTATTCTACAAAAGTAACATCCTAGTCTTTGTTTTATTCCGTACTCTATATGTATAAAAAAAGGACAGTTATTTTCACAAGCATTTATGAAATCTTTTTATTTTTTTATTTTGTAATGTTTTCTTGTAGTGTTTGTTTACAATTTGATTGTCTAAAGAGAGACAAATTGGAATTCTCATTTTAAGTAGGATAAAGTTTACTCAAAATTTATGGAAAAAATACAAAATATAAAATTGGTCAAAATCAATAATTCTGGAAATGTTGGAAGTTGTCCAATACATTATATCAAGAGATGCAAGGTACATGTTTCATATACAATTTGGTATTGTCTAATATTTACAATGTAAAACATTATATATTGACATATACTGTATAATATGACCATCTTGTTAGTTTTAAGAATTGCAAAAATGCAATGAATATAGAAGGGCTTTGAAAAAATGTACTCTGTAATATTCTTTTATGTATTCCTTTGCAAATAAAAGATTTATTCTTTTTGTTTATTTTGAGCACTTTAAGCATGGAAACAACTGTTGTCCTTACTAGTAATAAAATATCAAGCACAATGTAATGAAACGCCCTATTCTGGTGGGTCCTCAATAGTCTCCCATGACAAGTGCTGGTCCAGCCAAGCATTAGGGTGATGCATCAGGCCTCGGAGACCAATCCTTGCCTATTAGGAGCCAGGGCCAGAATCTGGCACTTTGAGGTGAGAGGAGCTTGGGGATCAAAGATCAGCCCAATACCAATACAAAACAAGCCCCAGAAAGCATAAGTGCAACAAAACAAGCAACTGCTTGAAGAAAATGAGCTAAGCAGTGCTAACGAGGTAAACTTATCATTGCTGAGGCGGTAAACTTCCAGACACCGATGCAACTAACCACTGCTAGGTGGCAGCCCTTGCCACCAGCCTCCCCAAGCTAACTCATAAAAGTGCCTTGACAGAGGAGCAGGACAAAAAATGTGGCTAAAGCTGAACCATGCAAAAAAGTTGGCAGAAGACAAGGGCATGCGCCAAGCCCTCATGGGGCAGAAGTGCAAAAAAACTGAATAATAAGACTAGCTGTAACAGGTGGCAACCCATACATAATACAGAGATGGATCCTGAAAGAACACATGGCACAGATTCTGGAGAATGATCCAAGGTAGGCCTCACTGAATGCCAAACACAGTTGGAGATGAGACAACGGTAACCTGCTGTGTGAGAGCCGGGCCACAAACCCAGCACCTGAAAATGCATCCAAGTGAAGAGGTAAAGTAAGCCCAGCAATAAATAGGAAATAAAGACAATCAAATATCCCAGGATAGCAAGTCCTCAGACCTAATTAAAATACAGCTGACCTTTAAACACGCCACAAAAGAGATAGGTGAAATATGGCCAGGGACAGAAGCTACTGATCTTACCACTCCACCATAGGTGAGCTTCAAGGGCTCAATAACCTGGGGCCAGCAGAAGCCAGCAGGTAGGCTTCGAGCCCACTATAAAAACTAAAATGTGCACAAGGAGCAGGTCCATGTGTGATCGCAACACAATCACAGATGACTACACTCCCCATAAGAGACCCTGCAGCGAGGAACACATGGTGTGCAACTCAGAAATGAGGCAATTGATGAAGAGTCAGTTTGTAGAGGAGGAACCCAAACTTCTCTTGGGGTTCCTGGCACACAGTCACATCTAAAGCTAGGACGTATGCAATGTGGATAATAGTAAATAAAATCATGAAGGAGAAAGGAAATAATAAAGCAATGGACCTGACAGGACTAATGCTCCAGAGATATCCAACATCACTTTGCTTCAGCATGAACTTAACTCAGGTTCTATGCCCTTATGCAATGGCTTTGCAAGTGAGTGAGGGGGACAGGCTGTTGGAATCCCAGCAGACCTGGGTTACTACTTTATGGCATCACGGGAATTGTGTTGACCCCACAGCAACGATCATTTGGTTCATTACTTTTGAGTATCCAATTTTCTTCAAGAAGATGCTTGTTTGGTTCCATTTATGCTTTCTGTTGTCTTTTTCTTATTTTTGGGTTGATCTCAGATTTTTAAGTTCACCTTGACTCAAGAGTGAACTCGATTCTGGTCCTGGGTCTTGGTAAACAAGAATGGGCCTCTATGGCCTTGTGCATTCCCTTAAGACTTAGCTGGACCAGTGCTCAGCTCAGGGAGCTACTGAGGAGGACATCCCAGAATCCCTGGAAAACACATTGCTGTATATGCTTGTGCACAAGTTCCTTATCACTTCCTCACAAAGAACAAAAATTGGACATACAAGATTGATATGAGCTCTGTTCTCAAAGTCGAACTCTGGTATTATCTCACGGAAGTCGGAAAGAATCTCATTGTGGCGTGCCATGTCCGTCGCTAGGATGCACCGAATCATTCCCTCCCTTATCTTCTTGTAGTCTTCTGCCGACACATTCCTGTAATACATACACAAGCCAATCTTACCACTAGAACCAATCAACCAAATTAAAATAATGCAATACAGTATATTACACTGTACATGCAAAACAAATGTGTTAAAACCTATTTCTTGCATTCAAGTCAAAGTGTTGTATGCAGATTACACACCATATATTTCTATCATTACTCACATGTATTGTTTCACTAGTGCTGTCAACTCTTGAAATCTCAATACTTGGAGGGCAGCACATGAGTGGATGTGTGGAGGGCAGCACATGAGTGGATGTGTGGAGGGCAGCACATGAGTGGATGTGTGGAGGGCAGCACATGAGTGGATGTGTGGAGGGCAGCACATGAGTGGATGTGTGGAGGGCAGCACATGAGTGGATGTGTGGAGGGCAGCACATAAGTGGATGTGTGGAGGGCAGCACATAAGTGGATGTGTGGAGGGCAGCACATGAGTGGATGTGTGGAGGGCAGCACATAAGTGGATGTGTGGAGGGCAGCACATGAGTGGGTGTGTGGAGGGCAGCACATAAGTGGATGTGTGGAGGGCAGCACATGAGTGGATGTGTGGAGGGCAGCACATGAGTGGATGTGTGGAGGGCAGCACATGAGTGGATGTGTGGAGGGCATCACATAAGTGGATGTGTGGAGGGCAGCACATGAGTGGATGTGTGGAGGGCATCACATTAGTGGATGTGTGGAGGGCAGCACATAAGTGGATGTGTGGAGGGCAGCACATAAGTGGATGTGTGGAGGGCAGCACATTAGTGGATGTGTGGAGGGCAGCACATTAGTGGATGTGTGGAGGGCAGCACATAAGTGGATGTGTGGAGGGCAGCACATAAGTGGATGTGTGGAGGGCAGCACATAAGTGGATGTGTGGAGGGCAGCACATTAGTGGATGTGTGGAGGGCAGCACATTAGTGGATGTGTGGAGGGCAGCACATAAGTGGATGTGTGGAGGGCAGCACATAAGTGGATGTGTGGAGGGCAGCACATAAGTGGATGTGTGGAGGGCAGCACATAAGTGGATGTGTGGAGGGCATCACATAAGTGGATGTGTGGAGGGCAGCACATGAGTGGATGTGTGGAGGGCAGCACATGAGTGGATGTGTGGAGGGCAGCACATGAGTGGATGTGTGGAGGGCAGCACATGAGTGGATGTGTGGAGGGCAGCACATGAGTGGATGTGTGGAGGGCAGCACATGAGTGGATGTGTGGAGGGCAGCACATGAGTGGATGTGTGGAGGGCAGCACATGAGTGGATGTGTGGAGGGCAGCACATGAGTGGATGTGTGGAGGGCATCACGTGCATAATCATATGCATACAAAATTTAAAAAGTCTGACACAAAAATGTAAACTTTATATAAACACATTATTCATATTTAAGCCTTTTTGTTCTTCATCTATGTATATTCTCTAAGGCAAGTTGTGCTCTAATTCCCACTACCTAAACTCTGGTTATTCTTTGTACACACATGAATACAGTTACAGTAATTACAGTATTTATACATGTTTTTATTTACATACAGCAAGTTTCTGGGTTCTCCACTGTTGGTAAAAAGTGTTAAGTTCATTAAAGAACCATTGGCAAAGTGGTTTTGCTACTTTTATTGGGTACTGTAGTACAGTAAGTACATGTACTGTAGTAGTACTGTACTGTACTTTTATTGCCCTCAGTAGCTTCGTGAGTCTCGTGCTAGTTCAGCCGAGTCGTAGGGAGATGCTCTAAGCCTCCAAGACCCAACCTTGCTTACCGGCAGCTAAGACCAGAATTTGGCTCACGCTACTAGGCGAGGGCAGCCTGGAGATCAAAGCTCAACCCAAAACTGAGAAAAAGTCCCATCAGAAAGTAAAATGCAACAAAGCAAAGCAATTCTGAAGAAAATTAAGCACCCTCTGGTAACAGGGTAAATGCTTGCTGCTAAAGTGTAAAGTGTAAACATCCTAATAGTGACACACCCGACTGCCACCGGGTGGCAGCTAAGGTTATACCAGAGATTCCGGTAAGCTTGCCTGTACCGTTTACCCAGTCTTTCTTGGGCCATGTTTCCAGACACTTTTGGGCCACATGATACAACACTTCAAGCCAGGGTATCCAGTTCTTCCTGGGCATGGTGCCCATTGCTCACAAGTCTGGCATTTTCTGGGTTGCGTGCCTTGGTATAGGGGACTTTGCTCTGGCCCCCAAGTTCTGAGCTCGGGTTCAGTTGGTTTGACTTCACATTTAGATGCTGGATGCTGTATTGTGGTTGACATTGCTTTGCCTACTGACCTAGAGGCCTGGAATTCCTCTGGGTATTCAGATCTGGTGACTGATTCCTGGGACTATAGGCCCCTGGGTTTAGAGGTTCCCTGCACTCGGGACTCTTGCCTAGCATCCCTCTGTGCCCTGTAATTTTGGCCAGCCATTGGTCTGACCTCATTCCTATGCTCTGTGTTGCCTGGCTGCTTGGCTGCTGTTTGAGTTTTGGGCTTGTTCTGAGGTCTACATAGGAACCGACCTTTAGCTTTGCTTGGCGTATCCCTCAGCCCAGCTGCACTTGTTTTGTTTAGGTGTTTGGTATATCACAGGTGCCCCTCTACCCTGGGCCCTCCTCTTCTGCAGTCTTCTCCTATGGGTAAGCCCTGGCTGCAGTTTTGTTTATGGATTTGTTCCTTTTCAGAAATGCAGACTGTCTCAGCTGAAGCACCATTGCAAATTAGCTTTGAGAGCTTCCGAGGGGGCCTTCATAGATATCAAATGTGGAATGTAATGAATCATTCTTTCTGTTGGGACCTTCAGTAGCTCCCTGTCCCCCACCATGTTCCATTCTCCTGTGTGGAATGGAGAGGTTTTGTTTGCAGGGCTCGGAAATGGGGGCTGGCAGTCTGGGATCCCAGATGACCTGGGCTGCCACCTGGTGGTGGTCAGGTACATCATTGTTAGGTTGGTTACAATGATCCAATTAGTGAACAAATCCACAAGAGCTTTGATGGGTGTTCGAACCTATGCACTGGGTGTTTCCAGACACGCTCTAGTCAACTGTACCATGACATGGTAAAAAGAATTGCAACCTGGAGTGCTACTGCCCCCACGAGGATCCCGAGACTTCCACTGAAGCCTAATCAGGGTTTCATACAATTTCCCCTTGCACTCGGGCTCCATCGACCAGTAGGTTCTAACTCTGACTTCAATACACAATCAAATCACGTTAATGTGATAATGTGATTTCTCTGAGAGCCAGATTCTAGTTGTGGTCTTTGTTGGCAAGGATGGGGCTCTGGGGCTTAGTGTATCTCCCTAAGGCTTGACAAGAACAGCACTTAAGCTTGAAGAGCTACTGAGGGTGGACACTCCCAGAAAAGGGAAATTTCATTACATTTATGAATTAATCTTGTTTAATAATGGAATTTGTTATATATTTATCAGTGCCATGTTTTCTCCATAATATGATCTGCTTATCAATTTATATATTGCATATTTTTGTAAGATTTATTGCAGAATAAATTTGGCTAGAAAGATTTTTTTACTTTAATGGATATTTAGTGGAGGCGACATTCAGTAATGTAACTATTGTATTTTCTTTAGTATTAATATAACTATGCATTTTCTTTTATTCCACCAGCAAAGCATTTGGAATATACTCTATGCAATATGGAATATACCCAGCAATAAATGGAATATGGAATATACCCAGAAATATACTCTGTGTATAGAGTATATTGATAGATATGTCTGATAACCAGATTCAATACTGTACTGTAGTTAGAGTCGATGGTACAGAACCTCTGACTTTGTCCTGAATTGTCAGACAGTTCAATATTGGTCTTTCAACAGCAAAAACACTATACAGTATTTAGAAATTGATTCTGCTATACCACAACAAAATGTTGTCTCAGCAGTACAGTCAAGTTAAGCACCATTTTGTCTAGCTAGTAAGTGGATGGGTGATCATGCAAAAAAAGTCTCGCCCTGGGCTAAGGTAACCTTGAAAATACTTAAGAGGCTTCCTTTTTCTCAAGTGATATATCCATTTCTAAACAGGAAAATACTAGAGATTTTTATATCCAAACAAGGAAAATGACAAATTTATAAATTATTTACCTAAATATATTGCACTCGTTCCTCTCCAAGACAGTAAACGCAACAGAACAATGGTGGTTTTCCAACGGTGAGATGTCGTTGTACCTGAGTGCCAACTCTGTCTTGGCGTTGATCTGCAAGCATGTGCAAGTTGTCAATGAGAGATACAGGTATATGTCAAGTTGTTAAAAGCATAACTAAACTTGAAGACACTTATTTTGTACAGAAAACTTAATTAAAAGAATTGAGAAATATTGTGTAACAGTCAAGGAATGAGCATTGCCTTTACTGAAGAACATACAATATTACACATTCATTAAACCTCAAAATGCAGTCATCATCATTTGTGTCACTCCATGGCTACTGCAGTCATAGTCATTTGCTAATTTTCATTATTACTGCCTGCTCTTTATACCAATTGTGTAAGTCTGATTTATAACACATCTACTGTACTGTACATGGATGTACAGTACAGTAGTTAACCAAAAACCCAAGAAAAATCCCAGCGCTGAATGTAATGAAACGCCAGTTTCTGGGCGAGCCCCAGAGGCTCTCTGGCACTCCCCTTTCCTTTTCCCTCCAGTCGGCAGCTTTTATCCTTCAAGAACTGGGAGGTGGTGACCCAGCTTGGGGGAGGGTGGCACTAATGAGCAGGGGGTTAATTGGACTAAGTTTTGTTAGTTTTTCTTTGTGGGGGAGTTCTTTTGTTGTTTTGAGGGCGTAGATCGCATTTTCCAACCAGGCAGTACTCTGTTTTCATTCGCCTACCTTTCTGGGGGCTTCCCTGGGCAATGGCAAGATAAACTTTACATGTAAAGTGTTCATGAGCCATTGCTCCCTGCACCTCTGTGAGGGGGGCTCCTGGTGGTTCTGGCTCTGGTCCCCACTAGGCATATAAGAACTCTGTGACTGATGACCCTAAGTAATGTGGCACTTAATCAGTATGTGCCCCATCGGCTTGAGGGAGCCAATGGGGCTCCCCACAGAAACCTTGCTATTGTTGTAATTGCTAACTATGCAATTATCATCAAATGGGATTTTGTCTACTGCCAGTGTTTGAATCCCTGTCTGGATGCCATTCCCAGATCAAATTGCTGCAAAGGAGTGGATTGCAAGATACTTCAATTGAGTTGTGCCAAGAACACTTACCGTATGCACAATGTAGGTGTACATATTGTATTGTAGGCCTATATACAGTACTCAATCACTGTTTTTTCAACTGAATAAACATCAAGTTCTTCAACACAAACATTACATTTTGTAAACTGACAAGTCAAGAAATGAACGTAGAAACTATCCAAGTTGAATGTCTTAGTCTGCTCCGTTCTAAGAAGTGTTAGCACTCTCACATGGTGTTCTGTTACCATCTCACCACCCGCCTTCCTCTTACAACTCATGAAACCACTCAAGGTGTAGATTTTGTCCACACAGTTTGTGACAACTTTTGATGATAGCTGCATTCCGAAGTTTAAAGATAAGTCAGACTGCATGTCAAGTGTCTTTCTAAGCCCACTTACACACCTGGTAGATATTGTTGAAGCCAGGATGGTCCAAGTCATGACATATACATGATGTCAACAGGATTAGGACGTCCAAATCTCCTAATCGTCTTTGTAAGTCGCACTTGCAGATCATGCCATACATCTGGAGTGTATCAAGCAAGAATTTCAACCAATATTAAAACTACATTTATATATTAGATACAAAGGGTGAATAAAGATTTCCTAAAGAAAATAATAATCTACTTATCACATATATGGTTAAGGTCTCTGATCTGTGGCAATACCCACCTTGCGAATATTCATATTCTCATTCTCTCTCTCTCTCTCTCTCATTCTCTCTCCTCAAAAATATTGAATATCAATAATTCACTAACAATGTGAAATTTCATTATCTTACCACTAAGTTATTTGGCCTCACAACCTTGTAAATATCCTGAATATCTTTTCAGAGAGAGAGAGAGAGTCTCTTGTAAGTGGCAACATTTGCTACAACCATTCTTTAAGGTTGACTGCATACCTTGGCCTCTGTTTAGCCTACACCTCGTATATGGCTGTCTTTAAGTTGAAGACTTTCTTTATAGTAACCCTCCTGTTCAATGAGATGTCTAAAGGACTTTTTTTCAATTCTGTAGTGGTTTGTTATCTTTTAAAATTATATCACGATCCATAAATTGGATGAAGGATATTACATTAGTGCCGAGTACATAACTATAGGTATTACCCCCATTATTATCTCATCCTGCTGATGGTGCAAGTGGTTGTTATCAAGAAATAGTGTCACTGTTATTGTGTGGCAGGCCAACACTCTGTAAGTGTTCCGTCATGTCCGAGCCAAAATGATCTTCAAATTTGTCTCAAAACAAGTCTTCAGACTTCCACACACTTTACAATCACTGGTAAATTTATTTTTTAACTGCTAGCTACATTGGCACATAACAGTATAGTGACCCTCTTTCTCTCTATTCAGCTTGTATCCAGCAAGTGCAGTCAGGGAGCCGGTCGGCCAAGCGGACAGCACGCTGAGCTTGTGATCCTGTGGTCCAGGGTTCGATCCCGGGCGCCGGCAAGAAACAATGGGCAGAGTTTCTTTCACCCTATGCCCCTGTTACCTAGCAGTAAAATAGGTACCTGGGTGTTAGTCAGCTGTCACGGGCTACTTCCTGGGGGTGGAGGCCTGGTCGAGGACCGGGCCACGGGGACACTAAAGCCCCGAAATCATCTCAAGATAACCAAGATTCTCCCATTTATTACTGCATATATTTGTGCAACTGTGTCAGTACAGTACTAGCCTTTCTTTTTATCATTATACATTTACATAAGAGATAAATTATTGTCTTGGAAGATCCCTTCTGCTGTAGTGATGTACCCACTGTATGTTCTGTATCAGTCAACTCCTCCCTGCATATCCATAGATGCTTAATACCTTGGCAACTCTTAAAATGCCTTAGCCACCTCTCCCAATATGAACACAGCTCGTTAACATTTATTTGCATATGGAAATCTTTTGCCTTGCCATGAGTAATGTATTTAGAACTAATGTTTTAGTTTTGTACCATTAGTGCTTGCCTCGAACACAGCATCTTCAACACTTTATGTTAGCCTGACTCACTACCTTCCTCTGCCACATTGCATTATCATATTCACTTTCAGAATAACAAAGATCTTATCTTTAGCCTCGAAAATACATTTAATACAAGTTGGTTATGGCTGCAACTCTCCTCTTATTTAAGAACCTATACTTTCTGCTAAAAATTCCTCACCGAATGTTTCGTCTTGGGTGCACTGCTGGTAGAAACCATTACAAACACTTTACTGTAACTGTATTTAGAGTGTGGTGTGAACACTGAATGCCCGTGCATATCAAAAATGCAACAGACAGATGCAGGTTGGGTACACTCACAAAAGACACTCTTTATAACCCTTGAAGCAGCCAGATGGAAAAATTAAAACTCTTAATATGACACTTAAGGAGTCACATCAGTTGACAATTGAATACTGCAGTCTTTTAGTTCAAACAGATGGGAGTTGGTTATTGTAAAAGAAATTTGGAATTTGGAAATTTGTCCTGTTTTCACATCAGAACAGGTTATGTACTGTAATGTATATATATTGTATTAATGAAAATTTGTAATGTATGTACTGTGCAGAAAGAGTATTGCTAACACTAATTTAAGTGTGTCCTGTATATTTTCAATACATATTAAAACCTGACTGCACATATACTGTACAATACTACTGAACTTTATTTTGTTATCCAAAACGATTATGGGTTTTGCGACACGTCCAATTTTTCTGACAAAATCTTTAACAAAAACCACAATGTGTAGTTATACACTAGTACTGTAGTTATACACCAAGTTTCCATGTTGTTACTTTTAACAACTGTATCCTGCACTCACCATTAAACAACTGTATACAATACATAATTTATTATATGCAGTAGTACTGTATAAATATGTATTTACAGTACTTTATTGGCCACCCTATATATGAAAAGAAAATGTATTTTTAGCCCAAAGATAAAAAGTAGTAAATAAAACAAACTGTCTCACCATTTGGGTGACGCAGAAGGCATGCTGGAAGTTGTGAAAGGGAACTTGATTATAACAGTGGTAGACCCGACACAAGAAGCTCCGCAGCACCTCAATCTCGATGCCAAATTTAGTTAGCAGATCCAAGTCATTATACCTAAAATGTACAACAATTGTTACAATTATACATTATGTATAATATTCATATGTATTTTAGCCTAAATAACATGTTTGCATTATGTGTTTCGCAGTTGTTAGGTTATGTTCTATACTGTATTACTCACATATTATTTATAAATATAATCAATCAAGGTAAAAAACTGTGGGCTGTGCCAACCAATTTGAGAAATATGAGAGACACTTAATACTGTATCAATGTATTATACATTGTTTAAACTTTGTAATATGAATAACTAACATTAATGTTGTTATATAATGAGTTATAATGATAAATATAAAAAGAGTGATCTGCAGAGCCAATAAAATTAGCTAAAAGACCAAAGTTCACAACTTTTAAAAAATTAAAGACAGCCCAAAAAATATTTTAATTCAAATTAAGCAGAATGGAGAAGAAACAAAACAGAAGTACAGAGATACCGAGGCCTAATATAGTATATATATATATCTGCTATATTAGGCCTAGGCATATTTGGTTTGGTTTTCAGCTTTAATTTTTCTGGCCTCTATAAAGTAAATACTGTACAGTAGTAACAAATTCTACTACCCAAGTGTCCAGTACATCAATATATATGTACGATGGTCCGCATATCAAAAGTACCATCTTAACAAAAGTACTATCTGTAGGTGGATGTATACAAGTAAATAATAAAACGATAAAGATTCTTAAAATCAATAATATGATGAGATTTATAAAATAAATATCCAAATATTGATTTATAAATAAGTTTGAAGATCAAAGGTTCAAGATCAAGATGATTGATTAAAACCATTGAGACCAAGATCAATGGAAGATCAAGGAGAATAACATCTTAATACTATTGTATAGTCAGGGGAAAGGTCGGTCACCAGAGAAGTATAGTCAGGGGAAAGGTCAGTAACCAGAGGAGTATAGTCAAGGGAAAGGTCAGTCACCAGAGGAGTATAGTCAGGGGGAAAGGTCAGTCACCAGAGGAGTATAGTCAGGGGAAAGGTCAGTCACCAGAGAAGTATAGTCAAGGGAAAGGTCAGTCACCAGAGGAGTATAGTCAGGGGAAAGGTCAGTCACTAGAGGAGTATAGTCAAGGGAAAGGTCAGTCACCAGAGGAGTATAGTCAGGGGAAAGGTCAGTCACCAGAGGAGTATAGTCAGGGGGAAAGGTCAGTCACCAGAGGAGTATAGTCAGGGGGAAGGTCAGTCACTAGAGGAGTATAGTCAAGGGAAAGGTCAGTCACTAGAGGAGTATAGTCAAGGGAAAGGTCAGTCACCAGAGGAGTATAGTCAGGGGAAAGGTCAGTCACCAGAGGAGTATAGTCAGGGGGAAGGTCAGTCACTAGAGGAGTATAGTCAGGGGAAAGGTCAGTCACTAGAGGAGTATAGTCAAGGGAAAGGTCAGTCACCAGAGGAGTATAGTCAGGGGAAAGGTCAGTCACCAGAGGAGTATAGTCAGGGGGAAAGGTCAGTCACCAGAGGAGTATAGTCAGGGGAAAGGTCAGTCACCAGAGGAGTATAGTCAGGGGAAAGGTCAGTCACCAGAGGAGTATAGTCAGGGGAAAGGTCAGTCACCAGAGGAGTATAGTCAGGGGAAAGGTCAGTCACCAGAGGAGTATAGTCAAGGGAAAGGTCAGTCACCAGAGGAGTATAGTCAGGGGGAAAGGTCAGTCACCAGAGGAGTATAGTCAGGGGAAAGGTCAGTCACCAGAGGAGTATAGTCAAGGGAAAGGTCAGTCACCAGAGGAGTATAGTCAGGGGAAAGGTCAGTCACCAGAGGAGTATAGTCAGGGGAAAGGTCAGTCACCAGAGGAGTATAGTCAGGGGAAAGGTCAGTCACCAGAGGAGTATAGTCAGGGGAAAGGTCAGTCACCAGAGGAGTATAGTCAGGGGAAAGGTCAGTCACTAGAGGAGTATAGTCAGGGGGAAGGTCAGTCACTAGAGGAGTATAGTCAGGGGGAAGGTCAGTCACTAGAGGAGTATAGTCAGGGGGAAGGTCAGTCACCAGAGGAGTATAGTCAGGGGAAAGGTCAGTCACCAGAGGAGTATAGTCAGGGGAAAGGTCAGTCACCAGAGGAGTATAGTCAGGGGAAAGGTCAGTCACCAGAGGAGTATAGTCAGGGGAAAGGTCAGTCACCAGAGGAGTATAGTCAGGGGAAAGGTCAGTCACCAGAGGAGTATAGTCAGGGGAAAGGTCAGTCACCAGAAAGATGACGACATAACAGGGAAGTGGTTGGATATTAGAGTTGCCTCACATGGGGCTAATTTTTAGACCTTATGTAGATTCCTTAACTCATGTTTTTACGAACACAGTGGAGCGGGCAAGGTCAACACAGTGGTGCGGGCAAGGTCAGTCACCATATAGTCAGGGGAAGGTCACAGTGGTGCGGGCAAGGTCAACACAGTGGGGCGGGCAAGGTCAACACAGTGGTGCGGGCAAGGTCAACACAGTGGTGCGGGCAAGGTCAACACAGTGGTGCGGGCAAGGTCAACACAGTGGTGCGGGCAAGGTCAACACAGTGGGGCGGGCAAGGTCAACACAGTGGTGCGGGCAAGGTCAACACAGTGGGGCGGGCAAGGTCAACACAGTGGAGCGGGCAAGGTCAACACAGTGGAGCGGGCAAGGTCAACACAGTGGAGCGGGCAAGGTCAACACAGTGGAGCGGGCAAGGTCAACACAGTGGGGCGGGCAAGGTCAACACAGTGGAGCGGGCAAGGTCAACACAGTGGAGCGGGCAAGGTCAACACAGTGGAGCGGGCAAGGTCAACACAGTGGGGCAGGCAAGGTCAACACAGTGGGGCAGGCAAGGTCAACACAGTGGGGCAGGCAAGGTCAACACAGTGGGGCAGGCAAGGTCAACACAGTGGGGCAGGCAAGGTCAACACAGTGGGGCGGGCAAGGTCAACACAGTGGAGCGGGCAAGGTCAACACAGTGGAGCGGGCAAGGTCAACACAGTGGGGCAGGCAAGGTCAACACAGTGGAGCGGGCAAGGTCAACACAGTGGAGCGGGCAAGGTCAACACACTGGGGCGGGCAAGGTCAACACAGTGGGGCGGGCAAGGTCAACACAGTGGGGCGGGCAAGGTCAACACACTGGGGCGGGCAAGGTCAACACAGTGGGGCGGGCAAGGTCAACACACTGGGGCGGGCAAGGTCAACACAGTGGAATTAGGCAAGGTCATACGGTGCAGCACCTGCTTGGAATCCATACCTTGTGAAACATAAAACTTAAATCGAAAAAGTGCAGAAGTTTGCTACTAGATTAGTGCCAGATCTTAGATGGTTAACTTATGAGGATAGGCTGAAGGAACTGGCCCTCACATCCTTGGAGGACAGAAGAAGTAGAGGAGATATGATAACAACATACAAGATACTGAGGGGAAATAGACAAGATGGACAAGGCCAGCCAGGCAAGGTCAACACTGTGACATCAGGCAAGGTCACGGTCAACACAGTGACGTCAGGCAAGGTCAAGGTCAACACAGTAACGTCAGACAAGGTCAACAAGGAGTAATCAGAGGTCAACCTACATGTGCTGGAGCAAGAGAAGGATCTCCCACTCCTCCCAGACCCAGTTGTTGAAGGTGGGGAGTCTGAGCAGCGTCCGCGTGTCCTCCTCCACCACACCGTCACTACGGGAAAAAAGCCATTGATGAGTGATGAAGATTTAGCCACCCAAGAGATGATACTTACGGGCATGAATAGCCCCGTAAGGGAACACACAACTCTCTCACTCACACTCATATAGGCGCCTCACAGAGTATTTTGTCGGGGACAGGTAGCTTGTGTGTGTGTGTACTCGCCTAGTTGTGCTTGTAGGGGTTGAGCTCTGGCTCTTTGGCCCCGCCTCTCAACTCTGTGTGTGTGTGTGTGTGTGTGTGTGTGTGTGTGTGTGTGTGTGTATATATATATATATATGTCGTACCTAGTAGCCAGAACGCACTTCTCAGCCTACTATGCAAGGCCCGATTTGCCTATTAAGCCAAGTTTTCATGAATTAATGTTTTTTCGTCTACCTAACCTACCTAACCTAACCTAGCTTTTTTTGGCTACCTAACCTAACCTTACCTATAAAAATAGGTTAGGTTAGGTTAGGTAGGGTTGGTTAGGTTCGGTCATATATCTACGTTAATTTTAACTCCAATAAAAAAAAATTGACCTCATACATAGAGAAAAGGGTTGCTTTATCATTTCATAAGAAAAAAATTATAGTAAATATATTAATTCAGGAAAACTTGGCTTATTAGGCAAATCGGGCCTTGAATAGTAGGCTGAGAAGTGAGTTCTGGCTACTAGGTACGACATATATATATATATATATATATATATATATATATATATATATATATATATATATATATATATATATATATATATATATATATATATATATTATATATATATATATATATATATATATATATATATATATATATATATATATATATATATATATATATATATAAATACCCATACCCCCAGCACGGGTATGGGGTTAATATATATATTATATATATAAATTGTTCACAACATCAGTAAATTAGTGTGTATAGAGACTTGGGGGTCACGTCTTGAACCTATTAGGCTAAAAGAGACTACTGATATAACTTGAACTATAACAATAGCTTCACAAGACTGTAACTTGCTTAGTCAAATGAAATTTTGGGCTTCAGTTCCTGACCCCATTAAGTGCCTCTGTAACCCCCCCCCCTCTCCAATACCACCTACAGCACGGGTATGGGTGCATAATAAATTGACATGAAAGATTGAACAAAAGCAAAGCAAATCAAACGTATGCTAATTACCACACATAATTATACAGGTTGTAATACTCTTTGATATGAAGGCTAGACTCTTCTTATACATGGGGCCAGATTCACGAAGCAGTTACGAACGTGTGCATCTTTCCTCAATCTTTGACGGCTTTGGTTACATTTATTAAGCAGTTTACAAGCATGAAAACTTGCCAATCAACTGTTGTTATTGTTATAAACAGCCTCCTGGTGCTTCGGAGCTCATTAACTGTTTAATAATTGTAAACAAAGCCGCCAAATATTGAGAAAAGATGTACAGGTTCGTAAGTGCTTGCATAACTGCTTCGTTAATCTGTGAATCTTCGAGAATCTGAATTAAAAACTGTATGACTCTAATATCTATATATTTATACCTTTATCTACATAATATCTATATACCTATTATCTACATATATAAAAAAAAGATAAAAAATGCCAATTGAGAATTCGGTGAAAATTGAGAGAGTTAGCGTCTTTGTTGATGAAAGAGAACGTTAAATAATGTTGGGTGGCGCCGGAGTCCAGACAGCACTATGCAAGCAGGGGGTAACCCAAGCCTATATTCCCTGGCTCTCAAGTGAACGCATTTGCTTATACAAACATATACCAGCGGCAGGGGGGGCCTCTGTAGCTGATGATCGCATTTGGAACCTGTTTGCTCAAACGTGTATAGATACCCGTCATGTGAAGTGGAGTGGCTATATATGAAGGCTCTGGCACACTGCAGTTTTACGGGTTATTCATGCCCGTGCCACCTCTTGGGTGGCTTAATCTTCATCAATCAATCAATCACTGCAGTTGGCTCCTGGATCATTATCTACTTTATCCAATAACAACCAGTTCGAAGTTGGCCTCGGGGGACGTGGGTAAGCCCAATAGGCTTCGTGTCTCCGACTGTGAGAAGCAAAAGATGGCGCGAGTCTCCCCTTGAGCAGATCTGAAATCAGGTTGACTGGGTTCTTCAGTCTACGTTGAGGTTACCTTGAGGTGCTTCCGGGGCTTAGCGTCCCCGCGGCCCGGTCGTCGACCAGGCCTCCTGGTTGCTGGACTGAGTCTAGTTGTCAATGGTTATCAGCAATAAAATTGATTGAAGGATTCAATCCCGTCAAGAAACTGGAAAGATGGGAAGTGTTGCAACTTGTAATCAATATGAAACTGATCTACTGGCAGGCTACTACTGCGGTCCTGGGTTCGATCCCAGGCGCCGGCAAGAAACAATGGGCAGAGTTTCTTTCACCCTATGCCCCTGTTACCTAGCAGTAAAATAGGTACCTGGGTGTTAGTCAGCTGTCACGGGCTGCTTCCTGGGGGTGGAGGCCTGGTCGAGGACCGGGCCGCGGGGACACTAAAAAGCCCCGAAATCATCTCAAGATAACCTCAAGATAAGATAGGCCATTTTGCGGCGACGATGCAGGTCCGTGATATAGAACAACATTCTCCATTTTCTTCCAAATACTATGTCAATGTTGTCAGCGGTGATCATTAAACAATATGAAGTACAAAGGTCCAACCCGTTCTCGCACTTGCTTATAGTCAATATTGGCTTATTTAATAAGTGCATATGTGACATACTAATTGATTGTGAATATTTTAGTTTACCTTGATAAGCTTCATAGAAAATACCGACCTCACCTAACCTTCTTAGTATGTTAAGATAAGCATCTTATTGCTTCTTAATTACAATTATTACTTAACCTATACCGTTGATAGGTTAAGTAATAATTGCAACCTTAATACACGGCTTGAAGTTCCTTGACATTGTTAAGGTGTTGGGTCGGGATGTGGTGGGCCGCAGACTTAACACAGGAGTGTCGTGCTGCTGGCCTCTGCTTTTCAATGTCTGTGTAGCTCAAGGTACGGAGGCAGACGTGGTTCAAGTCCCTCGAAATTAATACGAGTTTGGTGGACAACACTATTTCATGAATGCATAATTAGTCGTGTTGTTCCACTGGATTAACACCCTTGGGTGTGGCACAATGGATTGTTGGCGAAGCTTCAAGTACTAACCATCTCTGGCTCTGTCTTACATCTCACAAGTGACTACCTCCAAGATATCTTAATGTAGCAGTGGGTAAAACTATCTCTCTTGCCTATTTATTGTCTTTGCCTCATTCCCTCATCACAATCTACTTGAGAATGGTCCAGGACGGACCGAAACGTCGTCGTCCCTTCACTTTCTAGTGTGTGGTCTGGTCAACAAACAGTGTAAAGATTACTTTGAGAGCTAGCCTGCCGCAGGGCGGCGCGCTTGGCCCCTTGTAGGAATGTCAGCTTTAATGATGAACACATCAACCACGAATCTCAGGAGTATGCTGATGATTATACTCTAATCTTTACACATACAAGAGAGGATATGGTAACATTGTCTGCCGAGGACAATTGCTAAAGAGATCTGTGCCGGACGACTCATTTTAGGTCTTGACCCGTCCTGACTGGGCGTATCTTAATTCAAATTCAAATGTTTGAATAAGCCAATCAGCGACTTCAACACCACAGAGATGTCGGCGGCGTTACTGGTATGTACAAGGCCAATGTTTCTGTTGGTTCCCCACCTGCTTCAACTTCCTGGACAACCAGCGTCTCTTTTATGTTTAGTTCAGTTATTATGCACCCTATACCCATGTTGTGGGAAGGGTTAGAGGCACATAATGGGCTCAGGGACTGAACCCCACATCAGCCGGTGGCTGCACAAGAGGGGCTCAGTCACCAGCTGTACAAGAGGGGCTCAGTCAGCAGCTGTACAAGAGGCCCAGTCACCAGCTGCACAAGAGGCCCAGTCACCAGCTGCACAAGAGGGGTTCACACACTAGCACCCTGGCGGCCGTGTCGTCAACAACATCCCTCCATCACCAATCATTCATTATCCCTCCAGCTGAATTGACCTGAGGGCCACTAATACTAGCGCCCCCGACGAGGATAGGAAGCCGGCGGCTTGTCAAAGGTCCCCCCCCTCTCCCCACTTGCCCCCTGATGATCTATTCCAGTTATATTTTACAACCCACGACAGGCTGAGTGACTGGCATTTGGTACATGTTGTGTGATGTAGTGGGTTATAATAACAACTTCTAGTCCATTGCTCACATGAAGGTTCTGGAACACAACTGACTACTCTCTCTACTTAACATGAATTTAACGTTAATATTAAATATAATATAGCTAATACTAATAACGAAATAAACTCATTAAATATATCAATTTATGTGTTAACAAGACCTGAAGTAGGATGAGAGAGAGAGAGAGAGAGAGAGAGAGAGACAGAGAGACAGAGAGAGAGAGAGAGAGAGAGAGAGAGAGAGAGAGAGAGACAGAGAGAGAGAGAGAGAGAGAGAGAGAGAGACAGAGACAGAGAGACAGAGAGAGAGAGAGACAGAGAGAGAGACAGAGACAGAGACAGAGAGAGAGACAGAGAGAGAGAGAGAGAGAGACAGAGAGAGAGAGAGAGAGAGAGAGAGAGAGAGAGAGAGAGAGAGAGAGAGAGAGAGAGAGAGAGAGAGAGAGAGACAGAGAGAGAGAGAGAGAGAGAGAGAGAGAGAGAGAGAGAGAGAGAGAGAGAGAGACAGAGAGAGAGAGAGACAGAGAGAGAGAGAGACAGAGAGAGACAGAGACACACAGAGAGAGACAGAGACACACAGAGACAGACAGAGAGAGAGAGTAAGAGAGAGCAGACGACACTCACCATATCTCCCTGAACTTGGAGAAGACGGTAGAGAGCTCCTGGTCCACCTTCCTGCGGTATTGAACGTGTTTCCAATAGGGGTGAGTCTCCGGCAAGGCGCCCAGCGGCTCCCCAATCCCCTCCTTGTAGAACCCTGCAGCAGAGACCTCGATCAGTGTGGTGTCGGGGCATGTCATAGGTTGGGAGAGAAGAGAGAGAGAGTGTCCGTACAACGTGAGAGAGGACAACAAAGGTGGCGTGGTTGAGGTCTAATTTACCAGGTCCCAGCACAACAATCTCCCAGTTGTTCACATCATTCGTAGGCACCGCACGCCTGGGGGCGTCTAGGCGCAGCGTACGGGTTAACTGGCTCTGTTAACGCTACGTTAATATGTGCTTGGTTAGTTGTTTGGGCATGTCCAGGAAGCTTAACATACGACAAGTTAGCTTCCAATGGGACAATTTAACATGTAAGAAAACAAACAATGTTGGACACGATAAGGTTGAATTAAGTTAGGTTAATCGCACACACTATTAAATAACATGCTAAGCTTGGGTAGAATAAGTTCAAGTTAACTTAAGTTAGGTTATAATAAATGAATGTTAGCTAGGCGCACTTAACTTAATTCAGTAATTAATGAATATTAACTAGGTAAACCCAGAGACCACCACAGGATCAATCAATTCAGGGAATGAGAATACAGTATGATGTTTAAGACAACGGCAGTTGACCAACTGTCGTCATTTGAATTTGAATTTATGGGCGTCACCCACCCTACCCTCCGCCATAGGATCGTCAGGGCTCCAGAAGGAAGCTGATTAGTTCGTCGCCTCGCCCACCGATAATAGTAATCACATACACGCTCTCACTGTGACATTTATAATAGACCTGCCGAGTGGTTCTGGGAAAGCCAAAGTCCCAAGCATTATCAACACTGGCGCCGTGGACGCGTCGATATCGTTCGAAAGTTAGATAATGACATTAAACCCGTTGAACCTGTCCCTCTTTCAAATTGCGTTTGAATTCAGCCGTTTGCCAGGATGGCCGAAAATGGACGTAATTTGAAAATGAAAAATAATGGAAATTTAATTTTGGATTTGTTTTTTTCCAAAATAGCAGGTTAAGGGTACCTTGGTAGGTTAGGAGGGCAGGAAGGTCTCCTAAGGGTTCATAACGTCATGAAAACCGTTAATTGAAAGTTTCCTCTCCTAACCTAACAGAGTAAGCCGGACGACTCTAGACAGAAAACGGGACAGTACGTCACTTTCGTGAGCCGATTTCATTTCAAATCACGTCCATTTTTAGCCATAGGGAAGGGAACTATGAGGAGAAAGTGCCAAGCCATTACGACTATATAGCACTTGGAAGGGGTCAGGATAAGGATTTGGGATTGAACGGGGGGAAAGGAATGGTGCCCCAACCACTTGTGGACGGTCAGGGATTGAACGCCGACCTGCGTGACGGAAGACCGTCGCTCTACCGTCCAGGCCAAGTGGTTGGATTTTTGGCCATAGTGCGCATACGAGTGATAGGCGACTTTATTTTTAAGAGGATGGGTTGGTATGTACTTGTTGACGGAGTTGGCGGTCTTCTCGGTTATCTTGAGGTTATCTTGAGATGATTTCGGGGCTTTTAGTGTCCCCGCGGCCCGGTCCTCGACCAGGCCTCCACCCCCAGGAAGTAGCCCGTGACAGCTGACTAACACCCAGGTACCTATTTTACTGTTAGGTAACAGGGGCATAGGGTGAAAGAAACTCTACCCATTGTTTCTCGCCGGCGCCTGGGATCGAACCCAGTACCACAGGATCACAAGTCCAGCGTGCTGTCCGCTCGGCCGACCGGCTCTTCAGGGGGGACTGCTCAAACTCTGCCGGGGCCGCGTGATTAAAATGTGATATTCTCTCCCGTATTGATTAATTCTGTTACGAATTATAGTTTTGTGTATATCTACGGCTAGGGCGGGTTAGGCTAGGTGTTCTGATGGTAATTATTGGTATTGGCAGTTGATGGACGAGGCATTTGGACGGTCGGTAATTGAGGTTTTGGCTAAGAATGCTTAGGAGGACGGGGGGTGTGTGGGGGGGGGGGGGGGGGGTGGGGGTGGGGGGGTGAGGGCGATCTGCCTGTGGGGACCTGCCTGTGGGGGTGTGTGGGGGGTGAGGGCGATCTGCCTGTGGGGGTGAGGGCGACCTGCCTGTGGGGGTGTGGACGACCTGTGGGGGTGTGGGGGTGTGGACGACCTGTGGGGGTGTGGGGGTGACAGCCGCGCTCTCCCGAGGCAAACAAGGCTATATATACGACAACACCTGTCATTCACATACATTCAATTCCCGCGGCCGGACAGAAGCGGTTGGGCACGTTTCCTTTGATCTGACGCACCTCTCCTAGCAGTAAATAGGTACTCGTGAGTTAGAGAACTATTGTAGCGTCGCATCTTAAGATAAGCAGTTGGCCTTAAGGGACTTTGAAAAGCCTAATAACCTGTTTCAAAATATTTCAAATAAGCCTATGAAAGATGGCAACAAAAACGGCAAAAATAATATAAATGCAAAATATAAATGAACATAAAAATATTAGTATATATATATATATTTTTTTTTCCTTAGCGTCCAATAAACCAAAATGGTCCATGAAAAGGGCCAAAAGGAGGAGAAACTCGACCACTCTCGGCGGAACGCGTCTGGCTGGGACCATTATAATTGGCCCGTCACTCAAGAGATGGCGCTGACGGCAGCCATCACGCCAGGCGCCCTTGCCAGCATGGCCGCCCCTGTCCTCAGGCAGGATGTACTCCCCTAGCCAGGACAGCTGTAGGGAACACTCCCCTAGCCAGGACAGCTGTAGGGAACACTCCCCTAGCCAGGACAGCTGTAGGGAACACTCACCTAGCCAGGACAGGTGTAGGGAACACTCACTTAGCCAGGACAGGTGTATGGAACACTCACCTAGCCAGGACTGGTGTAGGGAACACTCACCTAGCCAGGACAGGTGTAGGGAACACTCACCTAGCCAGGACAGGTGTAGGGAACACTCACTTAGCCAGGACAGGTGTATGGAACACTCACCTAGCCAGGACAGGTGCTCGGTAGTTTCTAGCCTCATCCGGAAGGCGTCGACGGCTCTCCGGAGTTCGTCAACAACAGGTGGCAGGTCGGTCTTGAGCGAGGATACGGTTCTCTCCACCTCACACAGCCTGCAGTGGTGAGACTGTCTTAGTGTGGGGGTACCTAGTGCATTATGGCTGTACGACACTTTATTATGGGGGTACAACACTTTATTATGGGGTACGACGCTTCATTACATTCATACGATGCTTCATTATGGAGTACGACACTTCACTGTGGAGTAGATGCCTTATTATGGGACAAGATTTTACAATTCACACGAGTTGTAGTGCTAAGGTACACCTTAGCATCTTCAGAGGCAGAGGGAAAAGTGAATACAAAAGACCAACTACATATTCTAAACATACCACATATACAACAGATACTATATATTCCTTGGCGAGCGGAGTGTGATTATCCGGTTCGGAGGACCAACTATTGAGAATGCAGGTTCCTGTGTCCTCACTGGTCGGCCAACGCGGTACAACATGGTAGATGAGTAAACTGGCAGTTATCATTTGGTTTTGTTGATGGTAGACGTTCCCAGGTGTGAGCTGGTCATTGATACTGTGGACCAGTGCTTGATGATAAGTTTTTCCTATATGTATTCCCGTCCACTTTACCATGATAGCTGCCATCCTCCCCCACCTTCACTACCAGGGCTGCCATCCTCCCCACCTTCACCACCAGGGCTGCCATCCTCCCCACCTTCACCACCAGGGCTGCCATCCTCCCCACCAGGGCTGCCATCCTGCCCGTTCAACAAAGGTTGCCCGTCCAGTAATAAACAGAAGGTGGGATGCAATACAACTCACGATGACCTCATTAAACGTTTTATATAAGTGTGCCAGAGTGCTTGGCATCGTTCTGCATGAGCGAGGGGTCTGTGGCAACACTGGCTCCCCATACAGGCCAGGAGTGTGTGGCACCACTGTGGCTCCCCATACGGGCCAGGAGTGTGTGGCAACACTGTGGCTCCCCATACGGGCCAGGAGTGTGTGGCACCACTGTGGCTCCCCATACAGGCCAGGAGTGTGAGGCAACACTGTGGCTCCCCATACGGGCCAGGAGTGTGTGGCAACACTGTGGCTCCCCATACGGGCCAGGAGTGTGTGGCAACACTGTGGCTCCCCATACGGGCCAGGAGTGTGTGGCAACACTGTGGCTCCCCATAAAGGCCAGGAGTGTGTGGCAACACTGTGGCTCCCTGTCTCTCAGGGTAAACAAGATTCTCTTTCCTTACTTCAAACATTGATTTTTTCATTTATAAAAGTCCTCCACTCTCATCCATCCCCTCTCTACTCTCACCCAACACTCTCTACTCTCACCCAACACTCTCTACTCTCACCCAGGACTCTCTACTCTCACCCAACACTCTCTACTCTCACCCAACACTCTCTACTCTCACCCAACACTCTCTACTCTCACCCAACACTCTCTACTCTCACCCAGGACTCTCTACTCTCACCCAGGACTCTCTACTCTCACCCAGGACTCTCTACTCTCACCCAACACTCTCTACTCTCACCCAACACTCTCTACTCTCACCCAAGACTCTCTACTCTCACCCAGGACTCTCTACTCTCACCCAGGACTCTCTACTCTCACCCAACACTCTCTACTCTCACCCAGGACTCTCTACTCTCACCCAACACTCTCTACTCTCACCCAACACTCTCTACTCTCACCCAACACTCTCTACTCTCACCCAGGACTCTCTCTACTCTCACCCAGGACTCTCTCTACTCTCACCCAGGACTCTCTACTTTCACCCAACACTCTCTACTCTCACCCAACACTCTCTACTCTCACCCACCCACTGTAGAGAACTACTTCGTTAATCTGGTCCCAGGTTCGTAAGTGCTTGCGTAACCGCTTCGTGAATCTGGCGCCAGGAGGCTATATATATATAGCCTGGTATATTGATATAGGTGAGTTTGGGTGTTGATATAGGTAGCGGCTGCCTCGCCTGGGACAATACTCCTTCTGAAGTTCCCTTAATTATTATGTAGGGTGAGAGGGTGGAGGTGTTTGGGCAAGGAGGGACTCGTATGGGGCAAGAACAAGCTTACCTTTGTTCTAGGTCCATGAGATCAATCCCCAGATGGCTCAGTTTATTTCCTGGGAACAAGAAAAAGACATTATTATTATTAACTATACATAGAATTTTTATGTATAATATTAATTTATATATGAGAACCAATGTTTAATACACAGTATGTTAAGGTTGATGAATGCGTTTGGGGAGGCCGGCCGGCCGCTGCTTTAACCAGCCTAGTGTGAGGACGGGTTGACTGGGGTGGACGGCCGCTGCTTTAACCAGCCTAGTATGAGGACGGGTCGACTGGGGTGGACGGCCGCTGCTTTAACCAGCCTAGTGTGAGGACGGGTTGGAAATATATGGACTGGTGTGTGTGTTGGAACGCTTCCGTGCGGTCTAAAATCTCTCAAAGATGACATATCGAACACCGCGCCAATATCCGCCATTAATACTTGTTCTAGCACGCCATTATCGACCATATCAGCCAGTTTAACCATTAGTTCATCTTCACTAAGGGGTATCGAACCCTTTAATAACAGTCATTAGTGCCTCTCACACACGAAGGTATCGAGTTTTCCACCTGTGTAATTCTACACTTTGAGTATATGTACCGAGTCTATCTTTCTGAGTGTAGAACACTGAGAGATACTGGTGGTACAGTTACACTCTGAGAGATACTGGTGGTACAGTTACACTCTGAGAGATACTGGTGGTACAGTTACACTCTGAGAGATACTGGTGGTACAGTTACACTCTGAGAGATACTGGTGGTACAGTTACACTCTGAGAGATACTGGTGGTACAGTTACACTCTGAGAGATACTGGTGGTACAGTTACACTCTGAGAGATACTGGTGGTACAGTTACACTCTGAGAGATACTGGTGGTACAGTTACACTCTGAGAGATACTGGTGGTACAGTTACACTCTGAGAGATACTGGTGGTACAGTTACACTCTGAGAGATACTGGTGGTACAGTTACACTCTGAGAGATACTCTGGTGGTACAGTTACACTCTGAGAGATACTGGTGGTACAGTTACACTCTGAGAGATACTCTGGTGGTACAGTTACACTCTGAGAGATACTGGTGGTACAGTTCACAGTTCAGGAATACACACATCTGCTTCCCAAACAGAAATACCTGCACTTGAACTACCCTGGAAACACAAACCGAAACTGTCTCTATTTTCCGCTTGTTACAACTTGTAATAAAGTTGTTACATCTTGGCTTAACGTGTTTATGACGTATTAGAACGTTGTTACAACTTGCTATATTGGTTGTTATAACTGGTTAGGAAGTGTTAAAACTTGTTCAAACGTTGTACCAACGTCGTAGTTTCGGTGTGTGTTTGGCGGGTAGTCGATCCAGTAGCAGCAGGTAGTCTTGCAGGCCGGGGTTCGATCCCCAGTGATCCAAGTGGATAAAAATACCGTTCCTCTCCCATCTCCTCTTATCCAGTGTTATATAATCACACTGGCTGAGTGTCCCCTCCTCACAATCACTTCACCGTCTCGGGTGAGGTGATTGTGAGGAGGGAGGGAACATGATCACCTCATCAAAGATCTCCTGTGATTCTGTGGGTAAAACCACCCCAACAGAACTGTCAAAGACACACCAAGATATAACTTACAACTATGAGGAAAGATTTTTTGCGCCTGTTAGCGGTTCCTAGACCCCAACAGGAGGGCTCACAGCCAGGGTTCCTAGACCCCAACAGGAGGGCTCATAGCCGGGGTTCCTAGACCCCAACAGGAGGGCTCATAGCCGGGGTTCCTAGACCCCAACAGGAGGGCTCATAGCCGGGGTTCCTAGACGCCAACAGGAGGGCTCATAGCCGGGGTTCCTAGACCCCAACAGGAGGGCTCACAGCCAGGGTTCCTAGACCCCAACAGGAGGGCTCATAGCCGGGGTTCCTAGACCCCAACAGGAGGGCTCACAGCCGGGGTTCCTAGACCCCAACAGAGGGCTCACAGCCAGGGTTCCTAGACGCCAACAGGAGGACTCACAGTCAGGGTTCCTAGACCCCAACAGGAGGGCTCATAGCCGGGGTTCCTAGACCCCAACAGGAGGGCTTGAACTTGAACTTGGGGGGGGGGGGGATTTAGTTGTCAAAATACGATGTATTTTTCCGAGAGGCTGAATATATTATGGTACTAGTCCGCGCTCTGGTAATTTACAATAACTTGCGTCATACAGATGCGTAAAGCATCAATTCATCAATTCTCCACAGCACATTCCCTTACTAAAACAGGTTCAGCATTGCTTGTTCCACCCAACAAGCAAGTCGAGGTGCCAAGCATGTGGGACTTCCAGGAAACCCAATGTCAACAACATTGACACAGGCCATGGTGGTGGTGGTGGTTTTAGAAGTGAAAAGGATTGGAATCTGTTTGGAATACCTTTACAAATCTCAGGTAAGCTGAATGGATATATATTATATATAGGTGTGGGAGGTGTACAGGTTTGTGTGGGTGTGGGAGGCGTACAGGTGTGGGTGAGAGGTGTACAGGTGTGGGGTGGGAGGTGTACAGGTGTGTGGGTGTGGGAGGTGTACAGGTGTGGGCGGGCATCAATATGCTCCGTCAATACTCCCGCCAGACAGATCACCTTCCCGCCATATTCCGTCTGTTTTGTTTACTTTCAAATTACCGGTGAGTTTAACCTCTTCCTGAAATCTCGACGGCTGTTTATATTTTTAACACAGTTTCCCGTGGGCCTGTTTATACATATGACACGCAGTATGAAGGCAGCATACATATGTATGAGGCTAAACAACGATAATAGGGGTTATGGAGGGTGTATACAGGTGATTGAAAATGAAAGGTGACTTCTGGCAACTGCGGGTCGAGTGCATCGTCACGGTGAGAGCAACTGGTGGTCTCCCGCATCCTAAACCCTGCCCGCGGCTATGGCTTCCGACTACTTTACTCTTTACTCCCTGACTATATTATAATTGACCCATACAAATGATTCCTCTTATACCATATTTTGGGACAGAAACAGTCAACGGGCATTGCTTTAGACTAACAACTGCCACCCTCCCTGCCACTCTAAATAATGATGTCGGTTTAGGAAGCCGAAGCCAGCGCCGAAGACTCTGACAAGTGGCGCAGGGGTACGAATAGTCCCCCCTCCCGCCCGCCACCGGCTCGAGTGATGCGGGTCTGTTGGTATCTCAGCTCTCTCTCTCTCTCTCTCTCTCTCTCTCTCTCTCTCTCTCTCTCTCTCTCTCTCTCTCTCTCTCTCTCTCTCTCTGTTATTCTCTCTACCATCCTGCCTCCCTCTTCTGTTGTCTGATCCCGTCATTTATCCTGTTTAACAAATCCCGCTGTAGCGAATTCCTGCTGTACGCTTCATCTTTGGCCTCCCTTGGCTAGGCTCTTTCGTCCCCAAGTGGTGACGCTCCAGCGAAGCTCTATTGAGAAGCGGTACAGTGGCACTCTGCAGTGAAGCTGTATAGTGACGAGCTACAGTGATGTTGTATGGTGCCCCGCATACACCAGGCAGGCGCCAGGGCGCCCAGCCCGCGTATATACATACACACATACGCAGTCACCTGTCCCGATCACTATTCCAAACACGGCCCCTTTTTATCTCTAACTTGGAGTACCCCGGCTGTTCCCGGGTCTCTCTCCCCTCATTTCTTCCTCTATTCCCCCCCCCCCACTAACAACATATGTGCGTAGTTAGTATAAATTGGTTAGAATAGGGGTAGAAACGTTAACGCGATTGAATAATTCTAGCAGTGACAACCCTCCAAACACACACCGAAACTACGACGTTGGTACAACGTTCGAGCAAGTTTTAACACCTCCTAACCAGTTATAACAACCAATATAGCAAGTTGTAACAACGTTCTAATACGTCATAAACACGTTAAGCCAAGATGTAACAACTTTATTACAAGTTGTAATAGAGACAGTTTCGGTTTGTGTTTCCAGGGAATAGGCTTCCCCCATTTCCTTGTCTTATACACACGTTTTAATCATTAATATACTTATACATTAATGTATAATCATTTATACACAGATATTTCACAGTTTCCTGGAATAAGGCGGACGATACAATCCATTGGTAATTAAACCAGTGATTAGCCTGGCCCTTCGCGGCTCTGAAGGAGAGTTTATCCAGGTCCGCGGGGCGGGTGTTTTGACCGGGAGTTTGTTGACAAATGGCGTCTGTTGTCATTCTGCTGGCAGGTGTGGAGGCAGGTGTGTAAACATACACCTGTCTCCACCTGTTCTGTTGTCCTACACATATGCTCTGGGGGAGGCAGGTGTGTGAGTATACAGCTGTCTCCACCTGTTCTGTTGTCCTACACATATGCTCTGGGGGGAAGCAGGTGTGTACGAGTATACAGCCGTCTCCACCTGTCTCGTTGTCTTACATATATGCTCTGGGGGGGAAGACAGGTGTGGAGGCAGGTGTGTGTGTACAGAGCTCCTACATACCAGGAGCTAGGCAATACCACCCACCATATCACCATGTATAACAGTTTTACATTAAAATAGATGTATGGCTACATCTTTATGTATTCTCTTTACTAGCGAATACATAAATATCCATACATACAGCTGTATACAGCGCCACGAATCAGTGGACCACCTCCGTCTCCAGCTTATACACTTTGGGATTATACACTATACAATAAATCCCACTAACCAGGATTTATGAAGCATTTTCACAACCATTATTCGTAAATCGTTTACTACATGTAACCCAACCACTTGGGATGGACGGTAGAGTGACGGTCTCACTTCATGCAGGTCGGCGTTCAATCCCCCGACCGTCCACAAGTGGTTGGGTATCATTCCTTTCCCTCCGTCCCATCCCAAATCCTTATATCCTGACCCCTTCCCAGTGCTATATAGTCGTAATGGCTTGGCACTTTCCTGTGATAATTAAGACAAAATTATATTTAAATACTGCCGATTAAGGAAAGATATACAGGTTTCGTAATGGGTAACGTTAATGTTGTCTGTGAAAAGATTTTAATGCCCGTTTGCGATACACTTTTATACAAGACGTTTAAAAATGTCTTCGAAATAATTTTTTTTTTAAGTCATCGACCTTAAT